GGTTAACTAAACAACTTAAAAAATATCAGTCTACAGTATGCATGAACTCTTCCATTTTTTGCAAAGATCAGAATCAACAATTTTTGCGTAACTAAATATTTTATACTCAAAAAATAAATAAATAATTAATAATTTATAAACAATATATATGTGGATGTCGGCGGAGAGGTGGGCAAATAAATTGAAATTTTTTCTAGGATAATCTTTATTTTCCACGATTTAACTATTTATTTTACACTGATCCCCTGACTACTTGCTCACCTTGCTTTCTTAAAATCGCCATCTTCTTTTTTCATATCTTCCCTTTCATTTCCACAAAACTTGCCTCTCTTTCATCCATCGTCTTACGTTCCATTTCCCACATTCGGCCATCCTACATATGTGGATGACCACATCCACTCATACTCATCTCACAAACAACAATTTTCCATGGTTAATAAATCCTTACATTCATTTCATCAGTCATTCACACAGTTATACTACAATCCAAATCTCACAAAAATACAATTATGTTAGGTATTACTTAGCCTAGTTCTTATTAGAAACAAATATTTATTTTTAAATCTTATCTTCTATTAAAATGATAGTACAGATGACTCGGTATCTATTCTTCGACTATTCTTGGTATACATACAAATCCCTTTCTACTTTATATTACATAAGAAACAATTGTTAATTCATTCAAACTGCTTTTATATTTATGAAATTAATCAAGAACAATGACTTTATACAAGTTACATAAAAAGTAAACTAATAAGTAGTTATTGGTAAACTGTTACATTTCCTGGCATAACATAATTACAAAGTAAGTTTAGGAAGACATCCCCTTTTTTTAAAAAAATGATAAGTAAGTTGTATTTTAATGACACTTATAATAGTTCAATATCCTAAACAAAATACATTTGTTATAATAACTTAAGAAAATGGATGAGATACAAAATACACTGATTTTCAACACAAATAATGGTCACAAAATTCTCAGTCAAGCAATTTACCCTGGCCACCTTTTCATATGATCTGCAGCAGTGGAAGTCTTCCACGGCCCTTCCACAGAACTATCAACCTTTACCACATCATAACGATCATTGCAATGAACACTTACCACTTTATATGGGCCTAGGTACTTTGGTTTCAACTTGGAGCAAGTACCAAACTGGGTCTTCTTTATGGCCACCAACTCACCAACTGAGTACTTAGTGCTGTCCTTCCTCTTCTTATTGTAATGTTTTCTATTTTCTTCCTGTACTCTAAGTATTTGTGCTTTAGCTTTGGCTCTTAATTCTTCTCTATTTTGAGTAAATTCTTCTAAATTTTCTTCCTGCAATAATCTGTGAATTTCTATATCTTCTTTCTGGTTCATTCTTGTGCCAAACAATAATTCAAATGGTGATGTCTCAATGCTTCTTTGGTATGTACTATTTATAGCTCGTTGTAATCTACTTACATGTTTGTACCATGATGTTGGTTCTTCGATGCACAGTTTGGTTAGCACAGCGATAATTATGCGATGAATCCTTTCAACTTGCCCATTGCCTCGTGGAATGCCTGTTGTTATAGTGACATGCTGTATATTTTCTTCATGACAAAAGTCTGTGAACTCATGTGCAGTGAATGCTGTACCTCTATCTGTGATGATTCTTGAGGGATTTCCAAAACATTGCTGAAATATTCTTAGCTTGTCAATAGTTTCCTTTGAAGTTGTTCCTTTTGTAGGAAATATCCATACAAATTTAGTGAATGCATCCACCACTGTTAGTATGTAGTTGTATTGCTTTCTTGTTTCTGATAAAGGCCCAATATGATCGCAATGCACTGTCTGTAATGGAATATTATCTTTGTGTATTGTATTTAAAAATCCTTCTTGCTTACCTTCTTTCTTTGTTGCTAACAAGCATGGAATGCATGTTACAATAAAATCTTCTAGCTTTCTTGATAAGTCTTTAATATAATAATCTTTGTTAATTAGGTCTGTCATCTTCCTTTTCCCAAAATGTCCAATGTTATGTATTTTTTTAATTATTTCAGTCTCCATACTTCTAGGTATTACTAACTGTCTTTGTGAGCCTTTATACAGTAAATCATTTTCGATAAAGAAGTCTGAATAGGATCTTTCTTTCAATATCTCCTTTACTGCCTTGAGTCCATCATCCATCTCCTGAGCTCTCTTTATCTGTTGATGGAGGTCTCGTGTTATGACACTAACACAAGGGTTTCGGCTCAAAGCGTCTACATGCTTCATTTTTGTTCCTGGACGATGTTCTATGGTGTAGTCAAACTCTTGTAGTAGTAAAACCCATCTCGCAACTCTGGTACTTAAATCTTTTTTCTTCAGTGTCATTTCAAATGCTGAACAATCTGTTATTATTTTAAACGAAATTCCAAGCAGGTACTTACGAAACTTCTTTACTCCTTCTATTATAGCAAGTGCTTCAAGCTCATAGCTTGTGTACCTTTTTTCGGCATCTGAAGTCTTCCTGCTCATGTAATATACTGGATGAAATCCACCATCATTTGGATCCTTTTGCATTAGAATTGCTGAATATGCAAGGATAGACGCATCTGTATGAAGTTCGGTTTCCAAATCAATGTTAAATATTCTCAATACTGGTTTGCTCGATAATCTTTGTTTCAAAGTATTAAATGCTTCCTTTTCTATGTTGTTAAATGTGAATGATTCATTTTTTTTCAACAGCTCAGTCAAAGGTCTTGCTATTGCTGCATAGTCCTTTACATATTTTCTGAAATAGGAAGTTAAGCCGATAAAAGAATGTAATTGTTTATATGTTTTAGGTTCAGGAAACCTTAATACTGCATCAGTCTTATCTGGGGACGGCTGTATCTTGCCATCCTCAACAACATGTCCCAAATACTCCACCTTTGTAGTTAACAGATCACATTTTTTCCAATTCATTTCTAAGCCATAGTCTGATGCTATCTTTAGTACTGATTGTAATCTTTCAATTCCTTGAAGACAACTGTCAGATAAAATAATCAAATCGTCAATGAAAATTAATAACCATCCTTTGGCTACTAGTTCTCGAAGAATTATAGTAATAAAACGGGTGAAATATTTTGGACTAATTGAAAGACCAAAGGGAGCTTTTAAAAATTCATATTGTCCTTGATGAGTGACAAAAGAAGTATACTTAACAGAGTCTTCATCAATACTCAAATGAAAAAAAGCATTTTTTAAATCTAACAGAGAGAAATATTTAGCATTTACTAACTTGTCAATATGATCTTCTATAATTGGTAGGGGAAATTCATCTTTAACTATTTTTTTATTCAGCAAGCGGTAGTCTACACATATGCGTGTAGTACCATCTTTCTTTTTAACCAGCACTAACGGACTTGCATACTCAGAAAAACTAGGTCTTATAATATTTTTATCAAGCCACTCACCAATTTGCTTCTCTACTTCTTTCTGTTCAAAAATACTAAGTCTCCTCGGTCGCTGGGCTACTGGTTGATCATCTTTCAATACAATCTTCATCTTGATTGGTGCCTGCTTTGTTTGATTTGCAGTATACTTATTGACTAAGTCCTGTACTTGTTCCCGTATCTGAGAATTAGTTATGTGAGAGAAAGGCTGATCCTGTACACAAATACTGCTGAAACAATCTTTACACTGTGGCAATATGCTGACTGAACCTTTTGCTATCATTACTGTGGTAAGGGATAAAAAATCTTGACCTAATATTAAACTATAAGGTATAGTCTGATCGGGCACAATATGTAAAACAATTTGAAAACAAAAACCATCGATTTCTATTTTAATTGTAAAATTACCTAATGAGTTTACCTGCGTCTTTCCCAAACCAATGAAGGAAATGCTTTCTTTTTCAAACTGTGTAACACATAACTCGAAAAATAATTTGCTAGATACCAACGAAAGATCGCACCCCGAATCTATTAGAGCCGGAACACATTTATTCGCAATTAACACTGTCTTTACGGAACTATTTTGTATTTTATTCATATTATTTACAATAGATTCGTCTTGCACATTCATCATGACGCTTTTATTTTGTTTACATTGACAGTTCTCTTTATCCATTTTTACTGCATCGTGATTGGTTGAATCGGATCCGCCATCTTGCGTCAGTGGCGCCGATGTTTTCTCGCTGCAGGCGCCCCCTACCGACGAAATGTAGACTTTGCGATGGGATGGTTTCAATATGGCGTTGTCGTTGCCACGATGTCTATATTCGCCACGAGAATATACTGCGTCACCATTACTGTCGCCGCCATTTTCTTTACGTGATACACTTGTACACTGCGTCGCGATATGGCCAAACATGTTGCACTTGAAACATTTGAGTCCTTTTTCTTTATGTGGACACGAATGCGATTGATGACTTTTTTCCCCACAGCTATAACAGAACTTAGATGATAACTTGTCACGATTTATGTATGGTTTTAAATTATTCTGATAATTGTTACTACGTCGTGATTGCGACTTCTCATTGTTTTTCTTCACAATTTCGTACACTTTAATTTTTTCCTTTAGTTCTACGTAGGTATTAATACCATAAAGCATAATCTTGTTTATCTCATTATCCACGATGCCATCAACTATGTATTGAATTGCTACGTAATCTGGCATTTTCCCGCGTTTACCTAGTTCTTTCATGGCTAACATGTATTCATAGCATGATTCGTCTTTCTTTTTCATTCTTTTCGACATAATTTCATGGATTTCTTTTATATTCACGGAATCGGGAAATTCTTTTAGTAGCGCCGCTTTCAATTCATCGTATGATCTGAATGTTTTTTCTGTTTTAAGCCAGAGAGCTGCCGTCGACACGAGGCTGCGTCTCGCGATAAGTAACTGTTGCAGTGCGCTCCAGCCGTAAATCTCCGCGCTTTCTTCAATGTCACGCACCCATTTAGATATTGGATATGTAGGGTCGTTCCCCGAGAATTTAAGTATAGTTTCTTCGCTCATACGTACTTCTACCGCGCTGCTGTTGCCGGCCATGTCGGTAGCACATGTCTTATTGTCGGTCATTTCTTTTTCTTTGGGATTCGTCTTAAATATTTCGTCTTAATCTTTTCTTTTGCCCTCTTTGTCAGCCATGCGGTGTGTCCACGTGTCCACGTAGTCCTTACCAACTCGAAAAATATCCGTCGATCCCGGACGAGCCCCCAAATTGTGGATGTCGGCGGAGAGGTGGGCAAATAAATTGAAATTTTTTCTAGGATAATCTTTATTTTCCACGATTTAACTATTTATTTTACACTGATCCCCTGACTACTTGCTCACCTTGCTTTCTTAAAATCGCCATCTTCTTTTTTCATATCTTCCCTTTCATTTCCACAAAACTTGCCTCTCTTTCATCCATCGTCTTACGTTCCATTTCCCACATATATAATTATAATTATAATATAATATATATTTATAATTATTATTTATTTAACAATAAATAATTTACTTTTCAAAAACATCAACTGGCTTTGAAAACTCGTAGAGTACTCTGTTACCTTTCATAAGTATATTTGGCACTGGTAATATGGTCAAGATCTGTTCCCATTTAACATCAGACATGTCATTTATTTTAAAAAGGGTACCAGCTTCATTGGAGACCTTTAAAAATGTAACCCTGATGTCTCCTTCTTCATCAAAATCTGATGAACATACGCCAGCATATCTATATTTTTTATTGTTAATTTGGTATTCCACAAGAATAAAATCTCCATTCTTAACAGACATAGGAATGTCTGCATTATCTATATAAGATGAATTAATCAGATGAATAGATGTTTGCGCAACCATTGCATTTGGCACATCTTCCTCAGAATCAGTATATACTGCCGCAACATCCAATTTGTTTTGTTTTTGGGGGTATCTAATGTCGCCTAAGTGGAAATGAGGACAAAAATTGCTACAAAAACAACTGAGGCTCATCATGTACAACGTATTGCCCAAATAATTTCCTCGTACTTGATGCACTTTTAGTGTACCAGTGAAACATTTAATATTTGGTTTATTATATTCCAGTATCTTCTTTTGAAAATCAATTTCTTTTTCAGTTATCACAAATATTTGAATGTCAGGACAGTTTTTATCTAATTCGATAGCAAAGTCGTTAATGGTAGCAATGTCAGTCCCTAAAGCAACAATTTCGTCAGCGATTCTTTTACGTGTTGCTCCGATACCATCTGGAGCTCCTTTGCCATGACCGGCTTCATGGTAATTCCAGGTAAAATCACAAATATTTTGATAGGTTTCCGTCAATTTACAAAGTAAGTAAAAAACATATCTTTGTTACGGTACTGAGTAACTGGGCCATCGCTTAAAAAATGAATGTTTTCGACTGAAGAAGGAAGGAGTTACATGACAGGTTTTAGGTGAGCCCAGATGACAGGTACATTATGGCTTAAATTTTCTGACATTGTGGCGAAACATTTTGTTTCTTTCTTGGTATATAAGACTACAGTGTGCAAACTTATTTGCGGTAAACTATATGAATTATACGGTAATATTAGTTGTGATAACACAGCATATTACACAAGTGATAGACTCATGTCAGAAAAAGAGAAATGGCATCGTACGTTAGGTCAAGTAAATTTTTACAAATTAAAAGACATGTGTAGGCACAAATTATTAGATGGTTTGCCAGAAAATTTAGAGGAAGGTTTTGTACAATGTGAAATTTGTTTACAAAATAAAATGTCAAATTTGCCATTCGAGAATAATAGACGTCGAGCGACCGAAATACTAGAAATAATTCATACAGATGTAAATGGGCCAATTACACCTTTTGGATACAATGGTCAACGATATTTTGTTTCATTCATTGATGATTATAGTAGACTTGCATATGTTTCTGTTATTAAAAATAAAAGTGATGTATTTGAGTGTTTTAGAACATATGTAAGAACAATGCATACTCAAACAGGGAAAAGAGTGAAGGAAATACGATGCGACAATGGACGTGAGTACTTAAATAATGATTTTTACAACTTTGCGAAGCAGGAAGGAATATATTTAAAACCTGTTCCAGCATACACACACCGACTCAATGGAGTAGCTGAAAGATTTAATAGGACAGTTATGGACAGAGCTAGGTGCTTATTGGCTGAAGCCAAAGTAGATAAAAAATATTGGCCAGAATGTGTGCTTACTGCAACATATCTAGGCAACAGAATTTTGACAAATACATTTGAAAAGAAAAGTCCTTACGAAATATTTTATAAAAGGAAACCGGATGTTAAAAATTTAAGAATTTATGGATGTAAATGTTTTGTAAGAATCCCAGAAGAAGTTCGAACATCAAAGTTTAATCCAAAGGGTGTCAAAGGAATATTGGTAGGATATACTGATACAGGGTACCGAATTTTAGTAAATGATAAGATAGTTATATCACGACATGTAAAGTTTATAGAAACGGATAAACGTCAAGAAGTTATTGGTTTTCGAAATGAAGACACAGATAATGATGTTGATGATGAAGATAATAAATTAGAGAGAAACCAACAGCATAGAGAAGGAATCGACACTAATAAGGAAAATAAAATAAGTGAAAAAGAAAAGAGAGAAGGAGAAATGATTGAAGATGTCAGGTCTAAAACTAAAAGTGATAACGATGATGAATTTTATGATACAATTGAAGATAATGACAATAAGAGACAAATTACTAGTGAGGAGGTGAATGTACCAAGTCGTCCGAAAAGAGAAATTCGCAGACCTGCTAGATTTAACGATAATTTTGTTTACGTAAACGTTTGTGATTGTAGTGTTCCACTTACCTATGACGAAGCAGTGAATTGTCCAGATAGTATAAAGTGGGAAAATGCTATGAAATCTGAAATAAATAGCCTTGAACAAAATTAAACTTGGGAAGTGGTTGATGAGCCTAAAAATATGAATATTATTGAAGTGAAATGGATTTTTAGAGTAAAATCTGATGGTAAATATAAAGCAAGAGTTGTGGCAAAAGGTTTTCAGCAAGTGTATGATGAAAATGAAGAAATATATTCACCAGTTGCGAGAATGACCACTATGAAGACACTTATGTCGACAGCATGTATTAGAGGTTGGAATATTGATTGTATGGATGTTGAAACTGCCTTTTTAAATGGAAACATAAAATCGGAAGTTTATATATATCCACCGGAAGGCTATGAAGTTGGTAATAATAAAGTATGCAAATTAAAAAAATCTCTATACGGTTTACGAGAAAGTCCAAGAGATTGGTATGAATGTTTCAATGAATTTATGCTTAGTATAAATTTTCAAAGATCAAACTATGATTATTGTTTATACACAGGATTCGAAAAAAAAAGAAAGAATCTACTTATGTTTATATGTCGACGATATTTTAATTTGTGCAGAAAAGAATATTACTATTGCAAAGATGAAACAAAACTTGAGTGACAGATTTCGGATGAAAGATTTAGGCAAGGTAAAACACTATTTAGGAATTGATATTGACTATAAACCAGAACAGAAAGAAATGACTTTGAGTCAGAAGAGGTATATTGAGACCCTGGCAGAAAAATATAATATAAATGATGATTGTAAAACATATGAAACACCAATGGAACAAAATTTATCATTGGAGATTGGAAAAGGTACTTGTGACTTGAAATACAGAAATTTAATTGGAGCTTTACTATACATCGCTAGTGGAACTAGACCAGATATTTCGTATAGTGTTAATTATTTAAGTAGATTTCAGAATTGTTATGATAATACTCATTTCAAATATGCCTTGAGAGTCTTGAAATACTTATATAATAGTCGTCAAATGGTACTTAATTATAATTCGAAATACGATGATTACTTAGATGCTTATGTTGATGCGGATTGGGCTGCAGACAAAATTGACAGAAAGTCAACGACAGGTATTGTGTTAAGAGCATTTAACAATCCAATTTTATGGAAAACACACAAACAGAAGATTGTTTCAAGGGCTTCAACTCACGCGGAATATTATGCGTTAGCAGATTGCGTTACGGAGATTTTGCCAGTAATAGGAGTTTTAGCTGATTTAGATGTTAAAATAACAAAGCCAGTCAAAATCTATGAAGACAATAGCGGTGCCATATCTCTATCTAAAAAAGGAAATTCTGTAAAAATTCTAAACATATCGACGTAAGTTTTCATTTTGTAAATGATTACGAGAAAAAAAAGGTTATTTCTGTAAATAAAATAGACGGTAATGATCAACTTGCAGATATATTTACTAAGGCATTAGGGAAATGTAAATTTACATAAATTTAGGTATTTATTAAATATTTATTGATTGTTGGAAATTGAATAATAGATTATTTTTTTTATAAAACTCAAGGAGGTGTGTTAAAATAAGGTTCGTTTCATAAAAAAGTTAAGTCTATGGTTTTGACGTTTTTGTTGGTTATATTCTGGTCTTGTGTCGGTTGAGATAAAACGAATTAAATATTGTTTTTATTCTCTCGAAATGTTTTTTTCTTAACAGGATGAAAGTCCCTTTTTATGCAGGCAAGAAAAATAGTATTTTTTACAATGAAATAAAACTTTTACATCTCCTGTATTTAATCTGTTCAATAAAAAAATTGTATGGAACATAAAACAATGTAGGCTTAATTAATTCAATTCAATCCTTTATTTACCCTTTATTACATTTCGCAACTTAGGCAAGTCATAATACAATTACATCATATCATAAATATAAGTATACTACAAATTAAAAATATCACACACTAACATGATAAACACCTATTATCACTGATATCAACAAGCTTACAGAAATATAATAATTTCCAACAACAAAAGACTAATATTAATATAAAAAAAATAAAAAAAAAAGTGGTTGAATTTTGGCGACGACTAGGTAGTTATAATTAATGTATCTACTACAAACATGACTCCAATAAACAAAACAAAACATCACGCTGCCATTATATATTACTAAGTGAACACAGTAGAAATTCAGACACATCATAAAATGGATGTCTTTCAAAGAAAAATTTGATTCTGTTTTTAAACTCGTTAAAAGGCAGCTTTGTTAAAGGTAATGGTAATTTATTGTATAATTTAATTTTCAAACTCATGCCTAGATTTGAAACTTTCTGTAATCTTACTTTGGGTATAACAATTTTTTGTTTATTTCGTGTATTGTAGTGATGGACATCCATTCTCGTCATTAATGTATATTTCTGCCTGTGAATTTGTAACAATGATCTAAATATAAATACATTTATTACAGTCATAATTAGATTTTTTGCAAAATGCGCTCGTGCTGATGCCAGTCTTTGTAAACCATCTATTATTCTGATTGATCTCTTTTGGCAAATAAGAACTCTACTCACACCAGCAGCTCCACCCCATATAGTGATTGCATATGTAATTATTGAATGACAGTATGCGTAATATACCGATATCAGAGTCTTCCTGTCCACCAAAGGTTTAAGTTTAAACAGCGCGTAATTGGCACTAGACAGTTTTTTACAGATTTTATCTATATGGATATCGAAACTAAGTGTTGAATCTATGTTACAACCAAGGAAAACCACACTTTCATTATGCTGCCCAGTTTTTATTTTACATTTATAGTTTAGAACAGTACTCTTTGTTTCATTTAAAATAATGCCATTATTCCGAAACCAACTTTTTATCCTATCAAAGACATCGTTTCTTTTTTCAACTAAGCCTTGTTTAGTTCTGTCTTTAATGACTATATGAGTATCATCAGCAAACAAAGTTAGGAGGGCCCATTTCGGTAAGCAATTTTCTAAATCGTTTATGTAAATTACAAAGAGAACGGGACCAAGTATGGATCCTTGCGGTACTCCTATATTAGTTATTTCTTTTTTTGATTTTATATTATTTACTGTAACTATCTGTTGCCTATTGTTTAAGTAAGACTTTAGTATTTCAAGTTCTTTTCCCTGGAATCCGTAACTGTAAAGTTTATGCAACAAGATATCATGTCTTAAGCAATCGAAAGCCTTGGACAAGTCGCAAAAAATGCTCGTGCACTTCTGCGACTCATCGAGTGCACCCAGTATAAAATCAATTGATTTTGCAATTGCCATTTCCGTCGATCTATTACCACGGAACCCATGTAGGCTTAATTAAAACTTAATATTATATAAATATCTGCACAGTAATAAATGTTTATAATGATTATTATAAAATTCAACTAGCTTATCGGTCATTACTTTTATAAACTCATCATATCGTTCTATTTTTATTATGACAAAATTAACTATGGTATGTATCGTCACCTTAGATCGTTTACTGCGTAACTCCTTTTGACTCAACTTTACAGGAAGCAAAAAAAACTGTTTTAATAGAACTAAATGTTCAGAAAACCATTATTTATAATTA